TGCATCATGAAGAGCTTGGTAGCTCTACCTCCAGAGCAGAAAAATCTGGCAGGCCAGAATGATGTGCACTTTACCTACCAGTTCTGACTCCCTTGACAGTGTTCGCTCACTGCCCTCTACCTTCAGGCTCTTCACGGCGATGGCCATTTGTGACAAGGGCCCCTGCGCTTCAGTTTCCTGTGCAACTGCCATGAGAGATGATTCCTTCTGATTTCCTGATGGAGCTGACAGTCCTCTTGGCAAACAGAACTATATGGACTTCTGGTCACAATGCTTTCTGGCTGGATTTCTACAGCAACACCTCCACAGGCTGCAAATGGCCGCCTCTCATTGCTATGCCTCTCACACCCACAGCCCCAGCAGGCTGCTGCCCCGAGCTGACAATCCCACAAGCTTCCTTCTGGGAGAAGTCAAATGTTCCCTTCAGGGTTTCCCAACCACTCTCTGTGCAGCCATTTGTTTGGGTACTGTCCTCCTGTTGTCCAAGCTGTTTCCCTTCAGCCCGCTGTTGTGCCAGATTTTCACATGGTGTTTCAACCATCCTCCTTTAAAACTTTTGCGTACTCCTCGCCAGGGAGTTCTTGTGAAGAACGGTTTTTTGGCTTGATTTCAAGCAGGGTCTTTCATATCAACATCTGGTTATTGGCTCTTATCTCTGCCCAGCCAGTAGCAAGTCTTGGGTTAGAACACTGCCTACAGCACAGGTGAGAGAACAGAGCACTGCTTGGGTACAGGCACAGGCTGCCCAGGGAAGTGGTGGAGTCTCTGTCCCTGGATGTATTAAAGAACCTTGGAGATGTGTTATTTAGGGACATAGGTTAGTGAGCAACACTAGTAGTGGGTACATGGTTGAACTGGATGATCTTAGGGTTTTTTTCCAGCCTACAGTTGGAACAGTTCTACAGTTCTCTAAAATTCAGGTGAAGTCATGGCTATGGGGTCCCTGCCTCTGATGTGGACATGGCAGAGAAGAACAGGGGGATGAAGACAAGAGAGCATTGAGCTGGGACATGCTGCAGGATTGGGATGAAGGCTTCCTCCTGCGCCACCATCACCTTTAGCATCCCCACCAGCACAAGTGGAGGGTTCACAGCCAGGTTGTTACTCTCCATGTCTACTAACAGCATTTAGATCTGACCTTCAGATACAGCACAGAGTTCAAACAGTTGTATTTTTCAAGTCACCATTTTTTTAACACAGGTCTCTTTTACTTGCCCATCGAGTTAGGAAATTCAGCTATCTCCTTTGTTAAACCATTTTTTATATCACAGCTCATTCAGGCTGTTCTTCCCAGTCCATTCACCAGCTGTACTGCTGACAAAAGAGCAGTGTCCCAGTCTCCCAGCCTTTGTTCTGGTACCAGAATAATCTCTTCTGTGCCTCCTCTGCCGTGGCGGCATATACAACTTGTGTCTATAATTCAAAACTATAGCTCATTACATGACACTAATCTGAGAGAAACTGCCACCCATTTCCTCACCATTAATCTCTGATTTCAGATGTTTAGGTAGAGCAAGTAGACCTTCAGTTAATAAAAGCAAACTGCTCGCTAGGAATGCTGTACAGCTGAGTTAAATTTGAAATCTAATAATGGGAAAAAGATTGAAAGTAAAGACAATAAGCATTCCTGATTGCACCATTAGAGAGGAATGGAAGTTTCTACATAGTCAAGGCTGCAATCAGTTTCCATTTCAGCTCCTTTATTGGCTTTGACTTGGAAGGTCTCTCAGGTCTGAAAAATTTGAGTCTTACTCCTGATGAAAAGAAGAAAGTGTTTAGCAAAAAAAAAGCAGGACAATTGGACGAAGTGGCATTGCAGATAGCTCACACAGAAAAAGCAGGATTCAGGCTCCAAAACCCATCAGTTTTTTATTGGGATGAGGGGGAGGAGAAGGATTTATGTGTCTTGGTTTTTTCAGCTGTTCAGCTCATATTTTCAAGTTTTTTCTCAGTAATAATGAGATCTAGAAAATTGTTTTTCCTCTCATTAAAATAGGTTCAAATAATAATCACGTGAGCTCAAGAGCTGAATAAGCAGCAAATATTTCAAAACAGTCACTCATTCACAGAAGAAAAAGAGTACATTAAAATACTCACACTGTGTTTTAAACCAAACAACAACAACAAAAAAAAACAAAAACCATGAGTCAAAATGAAGGTTACGAATTTTTAAAATGTGTGTTTTTATACTTAATGAAATGTGGCTCCTAATATGGGCAGTGTGAGATTTACAGTGCTCTACACCATTCACATCCTCACTTGCAAGTGTTTGGGTTTTACAAATGATGTGACAAGTAAATACGTTGCTTAGGAACCACGGTGGGCTTTTGAAACTAATTCTTTGTTTCTGGGATTTTGACTTGGCAGGTGTTTGGTGCAGTGGAGTTATCAGACTCCTCTGGTTAGTGCTCAGACAGCACCACTCACTTGGGGAGGGCTCTCAGATAAGGATAAAGCTTAAAAAATCTGAGGCTCATGTTATTACAGCTTCCTGTGTAAACAGCGTGTCCTCAATACCTCTCACAGTTTTGGTCACGCTGTGTCCAATTTCCAAAACCAAAACTCCAGTGAGCCCCGGGATCTTCTTTTCTTCTAGGAAGCATTTTCCACAAGACTTTGAACCACAGGATGAACTAAGCGAAGAGATGATGTGGTGAGGTCATACAGCTTTTAAATAGAGACAGAAAGAACTGGCCTGAAATAATTTATAATGCTGTCGTCTAAGAGAATGATGTTAACCAGGAAATTGAGAAGTGGGAGCACTTATAAACTCTACCCTGATCCCAACCTCCTTCCACAACCCCAGAATAGCTGGTGTTACTACTTATATGATCTGCGGCAGCACATTTAAACATGGTTAACATTTAAATTTAGGTTTCATAAATTACACCCTGTAGAGATGGATAGAGACAGCTCCTATCTCTTTGAGGTATTGTTTCATTTGCAAATTCAGGCAGATGGTGCACGAGCAACTAATGACTGAAAAAAAATCACCCCTAAAAATAGTCCAGAACAAGGTGGGGATTTATCAGGGAGGGAACAGAAAAGCCATGACTTCCCATTCCCACTTCTCTGGCACAGCTCTAGGAGCTCCACTGACCCTGAGGACCCACAGTGCTGTGCAGGACAAAGATTCTGACTTCACCCACATTTGTGCACCGCCCCCCATTGCCCCATGTAGAATGGGAATGAAATGGCAAGGAGAGAAAGGAATGGAGGCTTTCCACCTTCCTCACACCATGGCTGTATCCAGACCAAAAACGCACCCTGGGAAACTGCATGTGTAAGGGGGGGCTATATGAAAGGAGACAGGCTCTTCAGCAGGGTCTGTTGTGATATGACAATGACAAATGGTTTCAAACTAAAAGAAGGGAGGTTTAGACTAGATATAAAGAAGAAGAGATTTTTACAATAAGGGTGGTGAGGCACTGGCACAGACTGCCTAGAGAGGTGATAGATACCCTGTTCTTGAGGACATCCAAGGTCAGGCTGGATAGAGCTTTGAGCACCTGATGGAGCTATAGGGGTCCCTGATCGTTGCACAGGAGTTGGATCAGATGGCTTTTAAGAGTCCCTTCCAACTCAAATGATTCTATGATTAATTCTATCAATAATTGCTCAACAGAACCATGTGGCTCCATCAAAACTTTCATTCTCCTAGTCAGGCTTGGTCGCACTGAGTGAAAACCGACTTCTCCAAGCAAATTCTATAAATACTTGTCACCACTTCTGCCTAAAGTAATACATTGCACTATATAGTACCTCCAGCAGGAAGCCAAATTTACTGTCATTCTCCTGCTTATAATGATGCTGTAGCCTCGCGTTTAGCCACTCTCATACAAACCCTTGTGGAGACAGTCTCCCTCCAGGCTATGTGCCAAGGATTTAGCAGGGGTGAGGCATGTCAGCAACAGCAATGGGACACCTGCTGCCCTGCTGAATGATGTAAACCACGCATCCCTCAGAGTGAGAAGCCTGTGTTTGTACAGCGCCTGGCAGAGGCACTGGTCATGACTGTCCTCAATGCAGTGGCATTCCACTAATACACCTTTGTCTTCTCCCAGCCCCTTTCCCCTCCCTGCTCACTGGTGCTGAACAGCCTGGGCTGACAGCAGTCTTTGCCTCCGTTTCTCCTGTAGCACAACCTGCCACCATAATGCTATCTGCTTCTAAGCATTATACTGCTGGTGGGGGCTGATTTGTTGTTAGATCGTGCTTAGTCCTTTCTTTCGAGGCTGTCTTACATGTTTATTATGCAATAAAAAATAGTTGCTGTGGGGGCTCATGATTCAGCCACTCCTGACGTATATTATTTCACTGAACCATAGTTCTTTTTCCCTGGTACAAATGCAGCTCTAAATTTGTTAGAGCTTGCCTGTGCTCGCACCGTGTTTGTGTTTCTATGCTTCTCTTATAGCATCCTAAATAAAGATAATGTTTAAAAATAAAAGGATATATATGCTAATTATATACAATGGGCCAGAACAACAACGCTGCACCCAAATGCATTAGGTGGGGATTTGGCTACGTCAGCAAAATGAAGCAAACAGGTTGTGGAGTGAATTCTAAAAGACAAGAAAGCAATCGTATATGCTGCCAAAGTCTCACTACAGTATATGCAAAGGTGTGTAGATGAATCTAGAACAGATACAGAGTTTGCCCACAGCAAACACACCAAAAAAAGCCAAATTCCCTGCTGGCAAAGTGATAGTGCAGAATAATTCACTACAACTCTCCTAACATTAATGATACTGAGGGAGAAGCCAGCATTCTGCTTCATTAACCAGTCATTTTGATTGCATCTTTTTCTTTTTTAATTCTAGTAATTTTCTCTTCTTTGCAATTATATTAGGAGACTAAATCCCTCTACATAAATTACAGCTTTCTCTTTGAAGGGGGAGACTGACCACATAAGCTGGAAACACACTCACCTCCAAAGCCAGAACCCAAAAGAAAGAGCTTGAGCATCAACCCTAGTCTAATTAAAAGATTCTCTTTACCTTGCTCCCACAATGAGCTGGTTCCTGTTGGCATCCAGGGCGAGCTGAGAAAAATCATGCACACCTGGATAGGTGAAATTGGACACCCAAGGCTTCAGATCTGCAAGGAAAAGGAGAAAGCAGAACACAATAAGTCTGCTCTAGAAGCAGTGAGTTCACCCAGACATCTGCTAATGGATTTCCTACTGAGTTATCTCTCAGGAGAAGGCTAATTAATAATCTATTTAAAGGGTTGCTATTTATTCTCATTCTCGACAGAATGTGCAATACATGTACATAAACACAGGGCTGTCTCAGCACTTATTTTCACATCCAAGACGGAGCACGAGTGGTGGCTCTGGAGACAGTGGCAGGTTGTTTTAGTTCTGTTAAACCTGGCAAGTCACGGCCACTGATGAGGCTAAGTGGTGTACAGGGACCAGGCTGCCTGCTGTGACACATCCACTGCCCTGCCTTCTCTGCCAGGCAAAGGGAAGCAGCTGCTCTCCAAAAAGAAAAGGTGGGCTCACCTGACTGAACACCAGGATAGAGCGTGAGTGATTTGAGATCTGGCTGCTCCAATGAAAGGCTTTAGGTTCTGTGCCAGGTTTCACTTTAGCTAGTACCTGGGATCCCTATCACTTTATCCCTCTCCCCTGAAAATCACCCACGTATACTTTGAGGGCTTCTCTTAGTCCTGTTATACTCTGGCTGTTAAACACATGGAGAATACTAAATATCCAAGGGAGCAGGGCACAGATGAGACCAAATCATATCAGAATCCCTCTGTAACCTGTTGACAATGAACCCTGCCTCATTCAAGGGCTGGATGCTGAAGATCCATAAGACTCAAAGCTTTGAACGCAAAAGGCAAAATCTTCTGGTCCCATACCAATAGGACATCGAGAGACAGGCCAGTGACCAGGACAAACCACAGCACTGATGCAGCTATGTCCAGAGCAGAACAAAAGATTTCTGAATAAACATGCCACCTTGTCAATTTATATCCCTAGTAACAAGAAGGTTCATTGAAGGCAGGCAGGTTTGAACATGTTGATGTAAGCATTAGTTCTCCTCTCCCCTGGACTGAAATGATGATACTGACAAGGAATCGTGTTGTTTGTAAGGCTTTTGGTGCCTTGGCACGTTCTGTAGTGTTACAGATGTCTAACAGTTTGAAACTTCTGACATAGGAATATTTGTTGAGCAATCTTAAATCCCCTCTTTTTCTAGGGATGGATGACAGCTAATCAAGTCTTTCAGTTACCAAAACCTTAACAAAATACATGTAAAAGTCCCTTTTCTTTGCTCTACTTGTCCTGCATTGCTTTCCAGGACAGAACCTTGCCATGAAACTTCTGGTTCTGTCCTGAACATCACATTTCCTAACCCTTCCTGAGCTCCAGTGAAATGGGGCTGAGCACCAGTCTCGTCCCCATGCTCCACCTGACTGAGTCCTGCTGGGACCTTCACCCATACAATCTTAAAACCCCATCACCACGAGCTGGAAGCTTCCAGCCTTTCCCAGCATTCTTGTCCCACCATGTAGCCGCACGCAACACGTGTACCTCATCTGCTCTTCGTTGAAAAGGCATGAGTTAAAGAATAACAGCCTACCTAACCTTCAAGCATCCCCACCTCCTACACTCCTCTGGGACCCACAATGATGTACTGGCACTGAGGAGGCTCTGCAGTTTCACCTCTTGTATTCTCCTAACTAACGGGGCTCTGCCGCCTTCTCCTGTAGCCCTTTAGCTGCTGAGACACTTCTGAGCCAAGCAGCAGAACCAGCAGCAATAACACCTTTCAGGCAGGTTAGCTGGCTGACATGTGATACGGATCTCCTGGCATTTCTCTTGGCTGGTGGGGGTGGGAATGGGGGATTGCTGTATAATAGTGATACTTTTTAAGATTCCTGCTTTTAGGCAGTAATTTCTCTTGTCATTTTACCTTCTCTCCTACCAACTTTTTCCTGCTAACTAACACACTATTACAGTGCAGCGGCAGAAAGAATATTTCTTCATCTGCTGCTCTAAGCAAAAGCTCCTCACTTCACAGAGGCAAACTCATCAGATCTTCTATTTAATGGCAAGCTCTGACAAATTACAGGTAAAAATAATTAAAAAAAAAATTAAAGGCAGTAGGTGGCTCGAATCTTTCCATGTTGGCTGAAATGTCAGTCAAGACCAAGAAATAACAGGCAGTGTCTTGATTTCTGCTACTACTGCAGGTGGTACAACTTATAAAGAAACCCTTCCTGGTTATTAAATTAAAGGCTTCAAGGCATGCATCCTCATAGCAAAATTAAGCTTTTATAGGCATGTAGTTGGAGATTATTAAACCCAGCGTGGTCCCAGCTAAGAATGTCTAAATGCGAGTCGTCAGAATTAATGCCAAATGGCACTTTTTCCTTCCAACCTTCTTTCTTCCTGTTAGAGGGAAGGGATAAAGTGAAATGGAAATGTAGCCAGGACACGGATTTTTTTTTCATTTGGCACATTCAAATCTACTGCTCAGACCACAGGCATCCCTAAGGACAGTTGTAGCCTTTCATTGTGAAACAAGCTCAGTTATGCAAGGTAAGTGCTGCCCTGGGCCTATCCCATATTAGCTGAAGTTTACACATATGGACCCAATGAACTCCAGAGTTTGCTCGTATTTGACCTTTTTCAGACGGCTGATTTTTCCAGTGCTGACTCCTTAATTTGGGTAGAAACCTTCAGTGCTGGGGCATGTTTACATTTGCAAAAGTATCTGTTTAAAAGCAGCATGAAAAATTAAAAGCCAAGGCTCTGGCTTTGCATGTCAGCAGCAGGAGCCGGAAAGTGAGGAACCATGCAGCTTTGGGGCAAAATGTTCATCAAGGCCTCCTTTGTGCTCCTCATCTCTGATCATTTCCAAGGGGTTAAAGATCCATGATCTCACTTCCTTCACATTAGGACAACAAACAGCATTTTAAAAGCCTCCACCACCACCCAGAGCAGCTCAAGGTGGTTCAGGTGTCCAGCAACAGAGAGCACAGAGCTTCACAGGAAACGCTCACTGGCGCACACAGCTGTGTTCAGGCTTTCAGGCATGCCTAAGACAAGGAGAAAAAAGGCCCTGTGCCATTTGGTGTAGTGGTCCCTGTGCCCAGCTGACATGCTGCTCTGCAACAGGTTTCTGAGAGTACAGGAGCATGACAGGGATTAGCCAGCTGCATAAATGCCAGTGTGCCAAATTGCAAGAGCTAGCTCTAAGGGTCTGATCCAAAGGCTCTTCAAGTCATTGGCAGTCTTCCACCAAGCTTGATGAGTTTTGGATTAGCTTCTGAAGATGTGGTAAACCTGGTAATACTTGAGTCTTCATCTCCTTAAAACCAGCTGCTCCCCACCTCACCCTCATCCTGTGTGTTTTGGTGGGAAGAAGTATGTAAACACTGAGCTGACACTTCCTTATCTGAAGGATAGGACTCATTTCTTCATCCCACTGGAGGCCGCTCACAGTTCCCTTTTCCAGCAGGCTGTGATGGCTTTGTGCATCCAACACACACCACATGAGCAGAGAGGTGAATTGCTTGTGCCTTGAATTGCAAAGCCATTGCTAAGTACATGGAGCTCAGCTAACCACATCGCTACTCAAGAACTCTTCTGGAATAATTCTCTGCATAATTGCCTAGAGGGTCAAGGATTCTTCCTGCAAAATAAGGATATATCCATATAAACAAGCTACCCATGTTCCTAATTTTGCTATCTTTGAATACCAGTGAGGCTGCAAGAGCAAGAAGCTCAACTTAAATTACTCATCCAAATCTTTCTCCTGTGCTTTGGGCAGAGCTTGCAGCCCAATATGTATCCACACCAGCAGCTGCAAAGTCATCTGCACCAAAGCTGGAGAGTTGCAAGCAAATTCAGGCATGTCTGCATGAGCCCTTTTTGTTCTTAGAGCAACAGTGTTGTCACATATTACGAAGGTCCACAAGTGGAGTTATTCTGGAATAGCTCCTCCTGGCTAGTGCCGGCTACAGTCACTGGTTATGCTACAATGTAGTAACACCAATCTCCTGCCAAAAGGGGAGGATCGCATATAAAAGCTTCAAGAACCATAAAGAGACCGTAAGGGAGGAAGATCGGGAATTTAAACAAAAAGAAAGATCCAGAGACTACAATCCAGAAAATACAACTTGCTGAATCAGCTTATTTTTCAAGGGCTTTGAGTACAGCAGGTACAGGCTCACGTAATGAGGTGGAGCATTCACAAAGCACTGAGGGCCTGCCAAACTCAATGGGCTAAGTAAATACCTGCTCTGCAGCTATATGGACCTATTTCTGCGCAGCATTAGCTTGACCACACATTGAGTGCTTCCCTTATTGCCTCAAGTTTATCTCTTAAAAATTCTCTTAATCCAGCTTACTACTTCATGGCTTAACTCCTGTGCCAGTATTCACGGCGAGGCACAAATGACATTGATGATTTTTGTAACTGTACAGTCACCTCTCCTTTTAGCTTGCTTAGCTTTGGCACAGGGCAAACATTCAGCAGCTGGCAGATCCTCCAGTTTGCAAGTGCTGAGATCTTGTCCAATCCATCCGCTAGCTTGCAGGAGTCTCAGGACTCTCAGCGCTGAATCCCAAAATGACCAACAGATGTAAATCACTTTGTAACATAAAGTCACAGCCTGTCCTTTTGGTATACACTGATGAAATGACCTCTTGTTAGAATTTAACCTATCACCTTAAATCTGTTCACTCGCCAAGGCCTGCTAAGTTAGACCATCCTCTGCATCGTTTATCCTCAGCATTCAGAGCATTTTTGATGAAGCAGACAGTTGCCTGCTAAGAGTGATGTCAGAGTACCCTTTCTGTAAGGGTTACTGATCAGAATCCACAAGGAACAAAGCAAGCAAGGCTGCAACCAAAGATCAGATGGCTAATGACTGCGCATGCTACCACGTGGCTTCTGAAACACAGCAAGCACGAACGCTTCCGAGGCTCCATAAAAGTAACTGTCAACTTACAGTGTTATCTTCATTAGACCAACAATGAATCATATTTTAGCATCAACCTCATTTTAAATTTTAGCTCTCTGTTGCAGGTCACACCACAGGTTAGTGCAATAGTCTTTGAAAATGTTTCACTCCTA